CTCGCTGCGCGAAACACACTTTGTCAGCGCTGTCATCTGCCGGTGCGTTAAGACCACCTCAGTGTCGGATTTTGGAAACTTCATTTTGAGTTGTCTCATCATGGCAGTTAGGGTATAAGGGACAAACCAGGGGACTTTACTTCCTCTTGATACCGTCGGTTATTTACAAAAAAACACCTAAATATAGCCTACTTGTTGTTATTGTGCTTCTGTCTTTCTGTGTCTTTTCATCTGTAAACTCCCTCAACGGGCCGCTCGCTCTCTTTTCTTGATCGCCCTTTCACGGGTGTCGTGAACAGTTCACTGTCCCGCTTCATTGTAGGATTTCTGCCATCTCTACCACTTTAGTTTGACCATCTCTGTTATTAAGTTATGGAATACTAAATAAATAAGTAATTACCGTTACTGCGCTCATAAAGAATGATAAGAATAAGAATAATGCGTATTGAACTGGTTTCATTAATTAGTGAGTTTATTTAAGGTAATTAGTTAGAGGCCCTATTTTATCAGTATGTATGTCTGCACAGCAGTTACAATGGTCAAACTACATTAGAACAGAATTGTCCCCATTTTGTCTTCAATAGTTACTAACATTAGATATTTTTGATGAGATATGGACCGCAAAAGAAAAAATGTCCCTGGTTTTCATTTTTAAAATCAAGTTACCGAATGCAAGTAGTCGCCTTAGCTTATTTTGTTATGAGATGTGAATTACTGTTCAATTTAGTTGATGTAATAATTGTTTGGTTTCTTTTACATTAAAAACAAGTTACAATTTTCAAAAGGTCTTGTGTTTTTTATCGGGGGGAGGCCCTTTTTCCAGTTTAGAGCAATAGCCCCTCCAAATGTCTGTGCACGTCCCAGGTCTCTTGCCTCCTCCCTCACTGCATCAGGTGGTTTCCCCTTTTCTATCTTTGAGGGAGAAGGAGGTCACGTTCAACTTTTACTTAATGAACAATTACAAATGTAAAGTTAAAATTAAAACAAATAAAGACTTATAGTAATGATATGCAATTTTAACAAGAAGGAATATGAACATGTTTCATGAAAGCAGAACACATTGTCAATGTCATGTTTAGAATCAAGTTTTTTCTTTAGACATTTCATTTCAAATATGCAAACTTTATACTTTAATTCATTAACAGAGACTTCATTTATTAACAGAGACAATAAGGACAGCTTGTCTCTACGATTCGCTGGCCCAGGAAGTTGGTTCAAGTCCTTTGCGTAGGCCGCCTGCATCCTGTGCTTCATTGTCTTCATACCCGCTGTAACCGCTCTCAAGGTGTCAAAAACCACAAGCGCCTTCTCAGAATTGTGGCTGGAACTTTTACACTTTTATTGCCCCATCTAGAATGCATAGTGCGCATAGGTCAAAAGTTCAGAATGTTCTATCTATTCTCACATGCCTGGTTTCACACGTCTGAAAAGACATGATGGAAACATGCATCCTTTCTATTTACAGCCAATTTAGCATCTTTGTATCAATGGTAAGCTTAATGGAGGTAGGTGAGGTAGAGGTCAGGTCTGACACGGCCACTTAAACAGCAGAACTGTCAACACCCTCTCTTGGCCGTGGCATACTGGCAGGATTCGATGGCGCTGATTAGGGTTAAGGACAATACACATTTATTAGTGCAAGGACCATCAGGTACCCTTATAGGGCAGTCAAATCCTCCGTCCACCGCCTGGCCCCTCAGGCTGGCGGCCCCCTCTCTGATACCATCACTGGGGAGGGTGACACACTACTTCTTTACCTTCACCATCTGCACCTCCTAATAAACGTTTTTACTATGTGTCAGGCCCAGCATGGTGTTTGACTGCTTGAAAACGCTTACCTGAAATAGTCAAGCAGAAGACAAATGTAATCAACATTTGATTTCAAAGTAATACATAAAAGTCAAAAGCAAATTCTTGTCAAAGTTTAAAAAGCAAACTTATCTCGAAACAATTGAATATTATCATAAGGTCACACAAAAATAAAATAATATAATGATTAACAATCATGTATATCAGAAAACATAGATATGCACCACTGAGTATAGAAGTGGGTTTAAACAACACAAAGCTAAATGGCTTAACAGCATTATCATAAGTAGTCAAAAATGTATAGTAACATGATGTTAAAAATAAATCAAGATACTCTGCACTTTTAACGGCACAATGTCGGCAGGTCAGGTCCACAGCATTTCTGGAGCCCTCGTCTGGTCAGCTGCTGTAAAAGATTAGTTTGGTGGCACAGAAGTTCTAGACTTCTTAGCCGGAGGAGGACAGGTAGACCCTTCCCCAAGCTCCCTAGGACTAATGTCAAAATAGTCTTCGAAATGTTCTGTAACATACCAGCGAGGTGGTTCCCTGTTATCCCTGCGGAGTCTCAGTGAGAGACCCCTCCTAGATGCTGGCAACAAATGATCAGATAAATCTTCTCTCTGATATAAGCGTCCATCACCAACCAACCACTCAACAGAACGTCTATAAAGGGACTGAAACATTGCTATAGTAAATATCACACATTTTCTTAAAAATATTGTTCCATCTACTTGGTTTTAAATTCATTACTACCAACCAGGAGTTGGATAAACACCAGATACTACAAAAGGAAGTTGGTCAAAATCTCCAAAGTGAGCAAACCTATTCTAATGACTTTTAGCAGTTAAAAACCTTCTAACATTATTCTACTTATTGAACTGCTCCCTGATAGGAAGAAACTAATAACACAACTGAACTCTCCTTTCTGCTCAAAATGGATAAATCAATAAACAACTCAGCGTTGGCCGATTGATAAGGCCATTTTGCCAGTTTCTAATAAGGAAAATGGGGATAGCTAAGATCAAAGTCACAAATCCCCCATTCTTTAATGACTTTGGGGTAATCAAAACTAAATTAAAAAATAGTCAAAATGATTCCAATCAGGATCTCTTGTATTGACTGGGATGAAGCATTCTCAGAGGTAACGTTCGGTCTCTCCATTACGTGCTGTCACTGTCTCAGGTCCAGAGAGTAGTGAGAGTATGTAAGGGCGGGGGTGCTGATCTCTATCTCAGAGCTGCATGTCAAACCATATCAACATCCGGTGCTTAGCCTGCAGCAAGGAGGAGAGGCAAAAGAGGAGAAATCTCCCTCTAAGCAGTTTTGAAAATGTTCTTTATAATTGTTTTCTTAAGCAGCTTTTATGGATAAAGGTTTTTAGCAAAGTTGGGAGAGGAGAAATCATGTTGATCTACCGAAGCCAACCTCTCCATTTCCCCTGAACAACAGGATTCTCTCCCTAAATGTCTTCCTTTGTTTAACTCCCTTGTTTTGTTAACCCATGACCCAAAAAGAAACATGTAGATTTTAAGATTAGCCTTAGTAGTTTAAGGGCCAGCCAAATCATCTTAAAGGTGAATTTGATCAGGAACAAACATAATGTTGTGATGTACAGTAGTGCTGGTTGAAGCAGTCCAAATCTGAACAAAACACCTAAAACTATCGCGACAGCTAGAATAATAAGAAAAGCCAAAAGTCCCCACTTAGCTTTATTGAAAGCATAGAACATTTTTAGCCGTAAATCATTCACAAATGTCTTCTTCATTTGACCAAAAACAGAATGCATTGGATCCTATATTGAACTAGCAGACAAAACTGCTCTGAACAGAAAAAGTCCCAGATGGGACTCGAAGGTCCTTCATTTCTCCCCATCCCACGTGCAATGACAGCTAGATATTGCTGCCTTATCCTGAGGTGGCCAAGTGCCAACTATCATTACATTACATTACATTTCATTTAGCTGATGCTTTTATCCAAAGCGACTTACAATGACCAATTACAGGGACATTCTCCCTGGAGTAACTAAGGGCTAAGTGCCTTACTCAAGGGCACACTAGTGGTGGTGTTCCAAAGAGCAGTCTCTGCACAGTTCATCTTTGCCTCCCTCTCTTTCCGAGACGAGGCAATCCTGTGGAGGATTCAAAGACGGCCCATTAGGGAGCCGTGCCGGCTTCTCATGGTTTGGGCCGTGCCATCTTACCATGGCATTAACAACTCTACCAATTACACATTCACCGGGAACATAAGGTCCCCACTCCAAAGGCTCCAGTCTCTCTTCACGAAGGTATCCTTGCTTGGCCATATTGGCACCCAGTAGGGCTTTCCCCACTAGATGAGATCACAAACCCCGTCCCTGGACCAGGGTTACCAGCCCCCCGAATGTATTCGCTAGTGCAGTCTGTGGCAGGGCCATTATTTGTCTTTCTTATCTGTGTGCAGTGTAGGATAAGTAGGATCCTTAGAAACAGTGCAAGCGGGAGTGAAGCACCCCGTGGGGGATTTTAAAGTGCTGGACGCACCGGAAGCAAAATGTACCGAGCTAATAAAAGAACCTGAAAGTAGCCTGGTAAAGAATACCTCTTTTCCTAACGTAGTTGTACATAAGAGACCTCTATCAAACCCTAGAATCCGGTCACTGGAGTGATACAGAAACAGAGAAGGAAGGGGGGAACTGAAAAAGGGATACAAGCTAAGAGATAAGGAACAAGGTTTTCTTAGAGAGAAAGTGAGGGTTAGGAAACCCGGTAGAGGAAACAGGGAGGTTGATAAGTTAGCAAGGGAGCGGCCAGCTAGCCTGGGGTCTTTGCGTCTTATTATACCTGGGGAATGGAAAGAAGGAGAGAGAGTGAGAGTTCCACCGCCCGACCACCTTAACGTATTAGGAGATACACAAGACTTAGCTCATGTAGGGGCATAGGTTCATGTAGTCTCATTGAGCTGGAGGTCACTAAAGCTTTGCACAGAGGTCGCATTATGTTATTTATTCATTTCTTTGAACACATATCTGTTTATGAACAATAACTTCCTTACTTGCAATAAATAAGCACTAATTAGAGGGTTATTGAGGAAAAGCTCTCAACTAATGGCTTATTACTTGTAGAATATGGTCATGTAGAATAAGGCATTAATAAGTGTTTTATAATGACTAATAAAGAGCCAATATACTGCTAATACGCATGTTAATTAACAACTAGTTGATGGTTAATATGTGTACCGTAATATAAAGTGTTACCAGTCATTCAAACCTGTACTTACAGTACTTGAACTCATTTTATTGAATACATGTGATGTAGTAGTATTATAAAACCATATACTCCAGTAAAGTAATTCAAACCTGTACTTACAGTACTTGAGTATATGTACTTTATTACTTCCCACCACCGGTTTATAGAGAGCTGAAGTTACTGATCTGATTATCACTCGGAAGTATTAATAGTATAAATGATTAATTATTAAAATATGCTAATATCAATGAAGGTACATGACTCTCTTGTTTCTCTTCAGAGCCTGGTGTTAGGCTGGTGGGAGGAGAGAGTCGCTGTGCAGGAGACCTGGAGGTGGAACATGAGGGAGAATGGAGACCAGTGAGGGGCTTTCTCTGGAACCTGAAGGCAGCAGGAGTCGCCTGCAGAGAGCTGGACTGTGGCTCTGCTGTTTCTGTGGGAGGGAGAGAGGGGTCCTCAAGGAGACCTGTGTGGGGGATCGATCCTGAATGTGTTGAGTCTGGATCTGCTCTGAGGGAGTGTGCACAATCATCTTCCTCTAGAGACATCCTGACTCTCACCTGCTCAGGTAAACCCATCAATGACATCATCAGTGACATCATCAGTGACATCATCAGTGACATTTTCATTTTCTTGTTTTTAGAATGAAAAAATACACAAACCCAAATAACAAATGATGAACAGTGTATGAAGCAGCCGGGCGTTGTGGGTGGGCTACTGGGTCTATAGGCCCACCCACTCATTCATCAACAATGACTGAGAGAAAATATAGCTTACCGGATTTTTATTTTTGATTATCAAAATGAATAATTAAATAATAAAATAATAGCAAAAATAAGTTTCCCTTTAAAAAATGAATACAATTAGAAGCAACATTTATTAACGTATTCAGGCTTCTGTTGTGTGAGATGTTCTATCCAATCACAACAGGCCAATGTAAAATAGCCTGTTGTGATTGGCCTACATAGTTCACATAGTCGAAGCGCGGCGCAAACACAACGTAGGACGTCCCACAGACCCCGCAGATGAAGGAGGAAAATATAGCACTCATTTACAGAGTCACAAGAATCCATGTTCAGAGTTTTCAAAAGAGTGAGAGGGGAGAGGCCAGAACCATCATCCTCACAGCAGGGGCCGTCTCACTCCAGATTCTGCCTCTCTATGCTTTCTGTGTCTCTAAAATGTATCAATGTAATGTGAACCAAAAGAAATGAACAAGCAGTATTACATTTCATTTCACTCATTGCAGCCTGGAGCACGGCTGATATGAAGAGTCATGAAACCCACCGGGTTATTTGGAGCCTCCACCTCTAGAATGATACAATTCACCATTTAATGGAAAACACGAGATCAATATACAAACAACAGCTTGAATTCAATGATGACGCCATGTTTGAAGAACAACGTGTTTACAAACACCAATCAGATAACACATGTGAAACACACATGTAAGAGTAAAGAATGAAACCTTTTGAAAGTGTGTGAGAGCAGAGGTGGAGCTGAGCAGGAGCAGAGGATCTGCAGAGGAGGAGGTTTGGTTGAAGACACAGGGAAAGGGTTCACTAATGGAGACCACTTGCTAGAGGGTATCAGATGTAGATGTGAGGGTACCTGCAGTCTGTGTTCTTATAAACATGTGTTCTGTTGTTCATCATCAACTCATGTTGGAACTGAGTCCAGTTTGAATCTCTGAAATATAGTTTCATCTCTTTGATGGTGTGTCTTTGACCTCTGTTTGATCTTCTGTCCTCTGCAGACTCTGTCAGGCTGCTGGGGGGGACTGGTCTGTGCTCAGGCAGACTGGAGGTGAAGTCTGACCAGTCTAACCAGTCTAACCCGTCCTGGTCCTCAGTGTGTGAGGCTGACTTTGACCAGCAGGATGCTCAGGTGGTCTGCCGGCAGCTGGGCTGTGGGGCTCCTTCAGTCCTCCAGGGGGCGCTCTATGGAGAAGGGGAGGCTCCAATGTGGACCAAAGAGTTCCAGTGTGGAGGCCATGAGTCTGCTCTCCTGGACTGTAGCTCAGCCTCAGAGAGAAACACCTGCTCACCTGGCACAGCTGTTAGCCTCACCTGCTCAGGTAGAGAGGAGCTGTGATTGGTTCATTCTGTTCTCATCAAACTCACTTTATTCTCTCTCTGATCTCTCTCTTGTTTCTCTTCAGAGCCTGGTGCTGTTAAGCTGGTGGGAGGAGAGAGTCGCTGTGCAGGAGCTCTGGAGGTGGAACATCTGGGAGAATGGAGACCAGTGGAGGACTACTCTCTCTGGACCCTGAAGGCAGCAGGAGTCGCCTGCAGAGAGCTCGACTGTGGCTCTGCTGTTTCTGTGGGACTGAGAAAGTCGTCCTCAAGGAGACCTGCGTGGAGGATCAGCTCTGACTGTGTTGAGTCTGGATCTCCTCTGAGGGAGTGTGCAGCACCATATCCCTCTTCCTCCTTCCTGACTCTCACCTGCTCAGGTAAGCTTATCAGTGACATCATCAGTGACATCATCAGTGACATCATCTAAGACAGTCGTTTTAAGCAACCACAGTTCATGGGGGGGTTAACCGAGATTAAAAAGTATCTAGAACAAATCCAGACATGATATAAACGTCACTGAACATTCATCTGGTAGCAGAGTGACATCTCATTTAGTATCCATCACAATCTGTATGAAAATCCGTCTGATATTCATGTGGCAGAAGCTTTGTTTGTTTATTACGGGTAATCAGGTGTAATCAATACATACACAAGGTTTAAAATCAGAACATACGTAATATTTAATATGAGAGAGACTTTATATTTAACCTCCTTTATTTAGGACACAGTGTTTACAATTTCCACTGACAGCTAAATGTATGTTTCTCTGTGAATATGCATCAGTGCACGGTACTTTGAGGAGCAGCTGGTGTTAGGAGAGCGTTAGCTGAATGCTGGATGGGTTGGGGGCATGTCTCTTCTGGGGCCCCCAGAGGGTCTTGCTGTGCCACTGCTCACAGCCATGAGGCCAGATCAATGAAAGCAGGATACATCCTTTACCGTCAAACTGGGTCTGAACACAGCTGCCTGTGTGCGCTTGATCAATACTTTCTGATGTTATATTTATGATATGCTACTTATCAGCTACATGGCCCTAACGTGTGAAGTTACACAAGCATCTGTACCAGAGAGGAGGAGATGAAGAGAGCAGGAGGGTCAGAGCAGGAGGAAGAGGAGGAGATGAAGAGAGCAGGAGGGTCAGAGCAGGAGGAAGAGGAGGAGATTAAGAGAGCAGGAGGAAGAGGAGGAGATGAAGAGAGCAGGAGGGTCAGAGCAGGAGGAAGAGGAGGAGATGAAGAGAGCAGGAGGGTCAGAGCAGGAGGAAGAGGAGGAGATGAAGAGACCAGGAGGGTCAGAGCAGGAGGAAGAGGAGGAGATGAAGAGACCAGGAGGGTCAGAGCAGGAGGAAGAGGAGGAGATGAAGAGAGCAGGAGGGTCAGAGCAGGAGGAAGAGGAGGAGATGAAGAGAGCAGGAGGGTCAGAGCAGGAGGAAGAGGAGGAGATGAAGAGAGCAGGAGGGTCAGAGCAGGAGGAAGAGGAGGAGATGAAGAGACCAGGAGGGTCAGAGCAGGAGGAAGAGGAGGAGATGAAGAGACCAGGAGGGTCAGAGCAGGAGGAAGAGGAGGAGATGAAGAGACCAGGAGGGTCAGAGCAGGAGGAAGAGGAGGAGATGAAGAGAGCAGGAGGGTCAGAGCAGGAGGAAGAGGAGGAGATGAAGACATTAGTGAAGAAGAAGACATGTATGTGAGGAATACAGATGAAGTGTCAGAAAGAGGGCCAGAGGCAGGGATCAGGAGGCAGAGGAGACTCCAGCTGGACCACATGGTATGTTCTTCTTCTCCTCACATCTTCCATCACAGCAGCTCAATCTAGCAGCTCTTAGTATTGACACATATTGAAATGTGTTGCTGCACAGGTCACCTCTAGCTCTCTGAAGAGATGGATGATGTCATGTGTGTACTTCATTATAACTAAGTACTTTGACTGTACTCACAGTACACAGAGTTCTAGGGTATCATGAGTACTTTCTGCTGTTTTATACTATATGTTAGTTTGTTAGTCTGAACACCTTGTTTCTCTTGTGCATTAAGAACACTTGTGTTAGGCCATGATTTAACAATAAATAGGTTTTATATACAGAATGAAATACCACGTACTGTCGGCCCTCCCATGCCACCCTGACCTCTTGCCCCCCCTTTGCCTCCCCATGTAAAATGTTCTAGAACCCCCACTGTGCAGGTGTGAGGTGAGACAGGTAACACACTGCTGCTGCTCTGGCAGTGATAACTGGGAGCCTCTTATTAGGAATAGAACAGCGAACATGTCTGCAAACACAAACTCTGTCAGAAGTGTGCAGCTGTTAAAGCCACTGACAGCCGATCCAGCAGCGATCAGGAATCACAAACGGAAGTCCTTTAACTTCACACTCAGAGGAAAGGACGTCTCATTGCTCTGAAAACACATTTCCTTACTCCCTCCCTCTTCGTGTGGAGGAAAGGACGCAAGTGAGGGAAGCATGGACTCAAGTTCAGAGACTTAGGATGGACCTCATATCGTGTTCTTCCAAGCTAGAGTAGAAGTGATATTAACATTGTTTTCCGCTTCGTTCTGATGCCTTAGTTTTACCGGGAAGTGGGCAGGGCAGTCATTTAGCTCGAAAGGGATGCACTCATGTGATTGGCTTAAATGATGCAGACATCTGATTGGCTACAGAAACTCCCATCTTGAATACATTCATTTGTGAATCTAGCGGCGTCAGGGTGTTTCAGAAATCCACTCACAAAAGCATTTTTTATAGAAATGTAACAACATCAAATCTGTTATTGATGCACAACATTGAACACTTTTAAAGTCACTTACGCATCACTGCACCCTGTATACCAAGGAGGTTTGCCATCACTTACTGTACGGAGGCTCAGTCACTGGTACACGTTTATTTATAAAGCCATGTTGGGTAAACTCCTGTATTGTATCTGCTCTCTGATCTCTCGGCGAATTGAAAGTACTTATTGCCTGAGATCACATGCTGTGGTTTTATTAAATGTGCCAAGTGCTAGGACTGTCTTAGGGAAGAAAGCTTTTAGATGTGCAGCTGCACTAACTTGGAACAGTCTGCAAAAAGAATGGAAAATTACCAATCTGGTACCACTACATGTTTTTAAAGCTCGGTTGGATGCTACACAATCAGATGCTGTTGGTACCTGTACATGTGGATAGATATGTCAATTGTAATCCCTGTCATTTTTGCTGTATGATGTCCTTTTGTTGTTCTGTTGTTCATCATCAACTCATGTTGGAACTGAGTCCAGTTTGAATCTCTGAAATATTGTTTCATCTCTTTTAGAGATACACTGTACCCTGTATACCAAGGAGGTTTGCCATCACTTACTGTACGGAGGCTCAGTCTCTGGTACACGTTTATTTATAAAGCCATGTTGGGTAAACTCCCGTATTGTATCTGCTCTCTGATAACACAGAGAGTTGCAAGCAGCTATTGTCTGAGATGGCAGGATGTAGTCTTGTTAGATGTGCCAAGAGCAAGGACTGTCTTAGGTAAGACAGCTTTTATGTGCGCAGCTCCACTTGCTTGGAACAATCTTCAGCAAGAATTGAAACTGAGCAATTTCATTGCTCTGCATGTTTTTAAAGCTAGGCTAAGTGAAATGCTTTTTGATACCATGGGTACTTGTAAATGTCGATAACTATGTAAATGTAGCCTGTAAATATAATGTATGATGTCCTTTATTGTTTTATGTTTGTTTTATGTTTCATGTGGAACCTATTTGCTGCAGGTCTCCCTTGAAAAAGAGATCTATGATCTCAAGGGACCAATCTTGTTAAATAAAGGTTTGAAATGAAATGAAAACAATGATGGTGTGTCTTTGACCTCTGTTTGACCTTCTGTCCTCTGCAGACTCTGTCAGGCTGCTGGGGGGGACTGGTCTGTGCTCAGGCAGACTGGAGGTGAACTCTGACCAGTCTAACCAGTCTAACCCGTCCTGGTCCTCAGTGTGTGAGGCTGACTTTGACCAGCAGGATGCTCAGGTGGTCTGCCGGCAGCTGGGCTGTGGGGCTCCTTCAGTCCTCCAGGGGGCGCTCTATGGAGAAGGGGAGGCTCCAATGTGGACCAAAGAGTTCCAGTGTGGAGGCCATGAGTCTGCTCTCCTGGACTGTAGCTCAGCCTCAGAGAGAAACACCTGCTCACCTGGCACAGCTGTTAGCCTCACCTGCTCAGGTAGAGAGGAGCTGTGATTGGTTCATTCTGTTCTCATCAAACTCACTTTATTCTCTCTCTGATCTCTCTCTTGTTTCTCTTCAGAGCCTGGTGGTGTTAAGCTGGAGGGAGGAGAGAGTCGCTGTGCAGGAGCTCTGGAGGTGGAACATCTGGGAGAATGGAGACCAGTGGGGGACCCTTACTCTCTCTGGACCCTGAAGGCAGCAGGAGTCGCCTGCAGAGAGCTCGACTGTGGCTCTGCTGTTTCTGTGAGAGAGAGAGAGGAGTCCTCAGAGAGACCTGTGTGGAGGATCAGACCTGACTGTGTTGAGTCTGGATCTCCTCTGAGGGAGTGTGCAGCAGCATCATATTCCTCTTCCTCCTTCCTGACTCTCACCTGCTCAGGTAAGCCCATCAGGGACATTGTTTATGACATCATGTCCTCTGTCTCTTTGTTAGTCTCTCTCTCTCTCTGGGGCAGGCAAACATGTGGATCTCCAGAAGCAGGAACAACAAAGTAAACAGTACAGCAGCTCAGCAACTCACTAACATGTGTTTCTCTTGGTGAAAGCAAGAGGGAGTTAGATTTTAGATTTCACTCTCTGATGAGAAACATGGAGGAGTTTTTAAACTGTTAGTGTTTCACTCCATCTGTGAGCTCTGTGGTGGAGGGAGGCATTGCTTTGAACTCTGTTTCTATGAGAAGAGATGTGTTTATCAAATCAAATCTTCTCAATGTCTAGCTATTAACTAAGATCATTGTTGTTGTTAATAAAGGAGTCTTTAAAAAATCAAATCTCCCCTCTCTCTCTCTCTCTCTCTCTCTCTCTCTCTCTCTCTCTCTCTCTCTCTCTCTCTCTCTCTCTCTCTCTCTCTCTCTCTCTCTCTCTCTCTCTCTCTACAGATAAGCTGTTTCAGCCCAACATCTCTGTGTCCTCCTCCATCTACGGGGTCTCCGGGGCCCAGCAGCAGGGGTTCCAGGTGTTCAGAGGCTTCACCTTCACCATCAGTTGCTCCATCCAGCCTCAGTACCCAGGAGGCTCCTTCCTGCTCAGCTCCTCCACTCACAACTACACCCAGCCAGCTGTCAATCACTCTGCCCACTTCCTGTTCCCGGCTGCAGAGCCCGCCCACCAGGGAAGCTACAGCTGTGTTTATGTCTCTGCTTTTTCTCAGGACTTCTCCTCTGAGAGCCGTGTGCTCTCCGTCACCGTCACAGGTGAGCTGTTAGAGTTTACTGTAGGACAGAGCGTGATGCTCCCCAGGAGAACGCTGGTGAGGACTGAGTGTTTTACTGTGAGCCCTGAAGCAGTCACACCCTTACATCACATTTAGCTTTCCAGAGCAACGTACAATAAGTGCAATGAACCGTGAAGACATGAATCCAGAACAGACATTCTCCAGTCAGCTGTAGTTTACATTGGAGTATTGCCATGAGTACTGACTGTTCAACAGATACAGCTAGCAGCTTCTCCCTACAGTCCTACTGTCTGGTATGAACAGGAAAAAGGGTTGGGGTTGAATGAAGATCTTAAGAAGATGTAGTTTATTGTAATATAACTGTAGAGGAGTCTCCATGCTGAAGTGGGTTCAGGTCTCTGTGTGTTTGCTGACTCTTGATGTGATGCTGTCCATGTGTTTGATCAGATCCAGGACCTTTTATCATCCGAGCTGTCGTCCTGCCGCTGACTCAGCTGCTGGTGCTGCTGGTGACCGTCGGCCTTTACTTCTACTGTAAGGTACGGAAACATGTTGTTGTTGTTCCACTGACTGAATGATAAGGGACTGAAACATGTTGTTGTTCCACCACTGACTGAATGATAAGGGACTGAAACATGTTGTTGTTCCACTGACTGAATGATAAGGGACTGAAACATGTTGTTGTTCCACTGACTGAATGATAAGGGACTGAAACATGTTGTTGTTCCACTGACTGAATGATAAGGGACTGAAACATGTTGTTGTTCCACCACTGACTGAATGAAACAGTGTGTGTTATTGAACAGGAGTGATGCAGGAAGTCTCACTGTGTGCTGTCATGTCTCTCCAGGCCACCAGGGGGCGGAGGCCGAGCCGACAGGAGGACATTGAGCTGGATTACCTGGGTGTTCCTGCTGAAGAGGAAGGAGCTCAGGGAGCAGAGTAGCAGCTCCAAGGAGCTCCTCTCACACACATGGGTTTATCAGCTCTTATAGATTTTAACCAACGTTAGAAAATATAGCTTTCACTCTGAAAGTCACCAGCAATGTGTTAGTGCCTCATGTTTCCTGACTTCCTGTCAGCTCCAAGCCAATTGGTTCCCACTGAAGATGAAGATCTTTAAAAAACATCACAAGTTAGTTTTATTTTTAAAAGTCAATGCAGTCGGTGCAGTTTGAAACCAGACACACCAACCCAGGCCGCTCAGGAACTAAGTTGGCCAATGAATGCCATATATTAATGTTCAAATATCCTCTAAAAAACAGTGTTACAAAACCCAATGTTTGAATCTAATGTAGTGATTCCTGAGATAACAGGAGGAACGCGTTACAGCGCCACCTAGTGTTAGATTTGTAGACCTCGAGCACAACAAGGGTTTTTGTTATTCAATCAACAAATAAGACAAAGTACAGTTTTTAAAATGTTACGTTTTTCACAACAATTCATCTGATCAGCGAGATAGGATATTTGATCCCCTTGTGGGTCACATGGGTCATTTTAGCAGCAGGGCCAGATTTAGCTGAACAATATACAGATAGGAATTGAACAAAAGTAAATAGTCCAAACACTTCTTATTTCATAACAATGCTGATGTTTTTTTTATTGAAAAATGTGATTTCAGTTGAATTTAGCTTGATTTTAGTCTGAAGAGATTGTTTGTATAAAAAAAATAAGCTTTTTCAGAGAAATCCGATTATATTTGTAATTTGCCAAAAAGTATAAGATTGTAACTTTTCTTCAAAGTTCTTATTTCACATGTACTGAGCTCAGTTTGTAATCATTTTCAATCATTCAGTATTTTTCTTACGTTATATCATTTTTGATGGTATTTCTCTGTATTTTGTAGTAATTTAGCTGTTTTTAAGAACTCCACCTATTGGAGAGCATTCCCAAATTCATAAGATATTAAATACTAACATGTTGTAATTAAAAATGTACATAATTTGGTAGAAGTTTCCTTTTTAAAAGGTAATGCGCTTTGTTATGTGATCAAGAAATGTGCTTGTTTTTGTATTATTGAGGATTGTACTTATTTCACAAGATGATCAATAATCTGTAATCATTACTTTTTGGACTTTTATGAAACATTTTTAATTTCTTTTGAATTTTCAGATTATTTTTGTGATTTAGGATTTTCCCAAATTCAGGAGACTAATTATTTCGTACTTAAAATGTTAACATTGTCCGTAAACAAGTGTTGTGATTTTGGAACCGAGAAATGTTTTTGCTTCATAAGAATTTTGATTGATTTTGTTGTTTTTTTGCATTTCTGAAGAATTTAGCTTTCGCCAATTAAGGTTTTTTGATGTGGCTTTTTTTAACAAATGTTGTCATCGCTGTCATTTGCTATGTACCAAAAAAATAATAAAACTTCTTTAATAATCCATGAAACTCTGAGAGTGAGCTGATTTCAAAAGTGTTTCTCCTGGTTTGCTTTGTTTCTGTGTGAGAATTAAACCTCAAGGCTTTAGTTCTAACAGGTTAGTATTGAAATAGCTGATTGATTGATAGCGTACATGGGGGGATGGGCACATAAGAGCGGGAACACATCTAGAGTGTGTGTGTGTGTGTGTGTGTGTGTGTGTGTGTGTGTGTGTGTGTGTGTGTGTGTGTGTGTGTGTGTGTGTGTGTGTGTGTGTGTGTGTGTGTGTGTGTGTGTGTTTTATCTGATCCGGATGGTTACTAATTCCTTTTCTTTATGGCGGGAACACCGTGGGTGTTTCAAAGTTGACTAAATCATCCAAAATTCAATGAAAGTGGTGATCAGCAATTTCATATGTTCAAATGTCTACTGTGAAGGATATCATAAAGCCTTAATGCAATTGAATGTAAAACAAAAAAGTTCTGATTGATGAAAGTAGTAAATCGGTCAGATTTGACCCGAAGACAACAGGAGGGTTAAGTTGTTTTAACTTTATACTCAGAGTTGAAACAAATACCAATCTGACATTATTAGAGCAAGGAAACCTTATTGACCTCCTAGTCAAATAAACTCACATTTCAGTCTTATTATAACTCACACTTTCAAGTTCTACATTTATATAACTCATCATTTCAAGTTAAGAAGATTGTAATAATACATTTGTTTCAACTTACATCTATTAGTTATATTGACTTCTGATTGCAAGTTTATTATTACATAATAATTATTGCAGCAAATGTGTTCAGATATATAACATGTATTTAAAAAAACATGTTATAAATCAACTTGAACACGGCATGTACTCGCTACAGGGTGCACTGAGGGTTTGTGACTGCAGACCGTTTACATGCAGAGAAAGCTACATCACACGGGGACGGGTAGGAACAGAAAAGCATGACATGGGACCTTTAAATAAAAGTGTTGGTTCATTAGGAAAGTTATTATCTCCCAAAGTATATACATTTAGACAATCAAACATTCAGTTCAGGAAAGCATAAGGGTTTACCACCTCTTTGCCCTCTTTTCTTTGTGTGGCCTGCTGACCTGACCTGACCTGACCTGCGCTGTACAAACTACAGATCCATCTCTAGGCTCAGCAGCCCTGTCCCCCCATAAGGCTGAACCTGAACCAGCTTTTCTCCCAACTGTTGCATTGTGTTGAATGCAGGGCCGGTACTGAAGTGGGCCGGACGGACGATGTGGGCCGGTCGGATAAGTCACTAGCACCCCCCCCCCCCCCCCCCTCGTTGACAATGACCTCGCGGTATGTACTTGCGGCACCAAGGTGGGCCGCTCGGATAACTCACTAGCACCCCCCCCCCCCCCCGTAGATAATTTACCGAGGTGGGCCGGCGGTACCGAAGTGGGCCGGTCGAGAGTCCCGGGCTGATTTGTAGTCCCAGTCCGCCCCTGGTTGAATGACATGCCACTTAACATATCTGAAGGGAGACAGGAATACAACATATATATATATCAAAACAAATATCTTTGGGGCCCAATGTGATATATTTTCACAGGGCCCAAAATCCCTGGCGGCACCGCTGCTTAGGATCACACTTTATCAATCCTTTTGATCGTTCAATCCGCACTTTAATCCAAGCATTGCGTCGTAACAAACATTTCTCTCTGCTCCATTCCGTTTCCTTTTATCTTGGCAGGCATCCAACGTATATCCATATCCCGATCAGCTTTAATATCTTCCATCTCATCCATTGTATTAGTCCATTTACTCACGTCCACAACCACACACTTTGGATTCCTAAAGCTTTTAGTCTACTAACCCATCATCCAAGGGTGGTTTTCACTATAAGTAAAAAAGAATCTTTGGACGGACACTATCATTTACAGTTTTTGTGAAATCTGAATTTTCTTTAAAATAAAAAACATCTATATTGATTCTGACTTTTCTACATCCAACTCACAGGTTTATCATTACTTTGAGAAAAAAGATTATTAATTTAACCCTTTTAGAAGGGAAGATATGGTCATTTGTTCTGGGAATGTCATTTTCGAGCCTGAGACCTGAAAAACAGGCTCAGGGCTTAACAGCTGTTCATGTTACAATGTGTTTTTGAGTTTATATGAAGTTACTACTGCAAAAATGTCTGTGTTAATAATGCTTCCAGGTGACAAATGTGTGAGAGTTTTGGGCGAATATTAATTAACACTCGCTCAGAAGTAAAACAAAACATAGTCTCATCTGTTAACCAGAATCCTTGTTAAATCTGTGAAGTTTTATATATATTTTACTTATTACTCTTTATGTTTTATCATATGGATTTAGACCGTTACAAGGCCTTTTCTCACTGATATTATATATTGTTACTATGCTCTGCCTTTAATACATTATAATGTGTACTTTTATATGAAATAAATGATGGCTCTACGCTGTGTGTAAATATGTTAATATCGTCTGACTAAACAAGCGTATCAACAACACAGATAAATATTACAATTTATTTAAACCAGTGATTTACTGTCTCAATACTGTTGAGTACTGTTTGAGTAAATGTATGGATTTAATTTAATTTTAAATAAAAGTATAAACATGTTTTATTATGTATTATAATTATAAAAGTAAAACATAAATACAAAAATTATTTAATTTTTTTTTCACATACTCAAAATAAATAAAGCTTTAAAAATACATAGCCTACAAATAAATCGAGCTTAAAGCACAATAGTATATACATGATACTGGCCTACATATAGTCAATATACAAAGCATTTTTGGTAAATATCAAAATGCTGTCCTTGAACGCATCCTCTGTGCTTATGCTCTGTACATGAACACAGTACATCTCCATACTAAGTGTTTCGAATAAGTATTTTGGTCCTTTACTTAAGTAAAAGTACAAATACCATGGTCTTAAAATACTGCGTTACAATTAAAAGTCCTGATTTCAAGACTTTGCTTAATTAAAAGTACAAAAGTATAAGAATCAAATCAACTTAAAGCATAAAATGTAAAAACACTTATTATGCGGAATGTAGTGGAGTAAAAAGTATAAAGTAGCATGAAATGGAAATACTTAAGTAAAGTACAAATATGGCAAAAAAGTACTAAAGTACAATACTTGAGTAAATACACTTGGTTACTTTGGTTACCACTGTCCATACTTGAATGTACCCATGAACGCACCTCTCTGTAATTGCAGTCTCTGACCGACAGGTGGCGACATTTCCTCACAGCTCTGCTTCAGGTTGTGACACAATGAATTTTGGGAGGATTAACCAGCTGAGTTTTCAGAGCAAAACTAAAAGCACAAGTGCGAAGTGGGTCCGAAAGAGAGACATATATAAAGCTAAGGGAAAACAAAGGTGGAAATTAAGTTAAATGTTGTCTTTTTGGGGCTAAAAATAGAAGCAGGTAGTTGTTTTTAAAATCAGGATCTCGTTCCCCTTCACCTTCTTGCAAAAAAAAAATCCTCTCTCTTCTCTACGACGTTGGACTACGTATGTCTTGCAATGTCAGTTTTTATGCTTTTTTAGATATATTTCTCACAGCTGTCAAGGTGTTTTTCAACATTACCTCAGCTCTGCCTGTAAACTCGCATTTTGACATATTATTGTACGTTTTTTCTTCATGCATTTGCAGTGTAAACCCCTCCTCTCTTCCTGCTGACTGAGAGAGAGAAGGAGGCAGCAGAGATTCAGTCTGACAGCAAACACAGAGGGGGACACATCTCCAGAGAATAGACGGGCACAAAGAAGGGATTAAATACCAGGAATAAGGATAACAATCGTTTTTTTGTGGACTGCATCAACAGGAGTAAGGAGAGAGGATTTTCTCTTTGTGTTTGTGAGTAAATGCTGCAACTGAAACAGTTTTGACTCACTTTAAAGTGGATTCTACCTCTGGATAACACTATGGAAGGTAAACAGTCAGATCCAGCTTCATGTTTTGATTGAATAGTCTATGTTAGAGGTATAATATTAACACAGTGGCGTTAAGTAACTAAGTACATTTACTCAAATACCTTTTTGAGGGACTTTACATGTTCTGCTACTTCATACTTCTACTCCACTACAGTTCAGAGGTAAATGGTGTACTTCTACTCCACTACATGTATTTAGTTACTTCACAGATGTGGATGAATGATGTGAAATATAATCAAGTGTTAAATCAGACTTTAGTTCCACCTGGAGTAAATTCACAAGCTACCCTGCAGTAATCAATCCTTAGTACCAAATATCAGCCCGATGTTTGCCTGCCAGCTCTGTGAAACAAAGTCTTTGTTATGTCCAGAGGTGGGAAGTAACTAAGTACATTTACTTAAGTAGTGTACTTAAGTGCAATTTAGAGGTACTTGTACTTTACCTGAGTATTTCCATTTTGAGCTACTTCATACTTCTTCTCATCTACATTTAGATAGATACTTTATTCATCCCAAACTTGGAGATTTGTTTGTCACAGCGGCAGATTTGTCCAGCATTACACAAGTTAACAATATTTGAAAGATAGAATAAGAATAAAACATTAACATTAGCAGCAAGTATATACAAATTCACAGTAGAAAGTACATGTATCACTAGGGTAACAATTAAAATAAAGGGAAATACTGTTATTTTACTCCACCTGTTTATTTCACAGCTTCAGCTACTTTTAACAAAATGCATCTCTCAAATTTAAACTAGTGGACTAACTCTTAAAGTCACAAAAGAGTCAGATTATTTAATAATTTTACAAAAAGTCAATCAGAACGTGGTTTGTCTACAGCAGTAAAATGCTACGTGATGCCACAAATGTATCTAGAAATGTCACATGTATAATAATTATGATTATATACACACATAAAGACAACATTTTGTTGATAATACTTTTGTACTTTTACTTAACCCTCCTGTCGTGTTCAGGTCAAATCTGACCGTTTTACTACTTTCATCAATAATATATATTGTGTTTTACATGTTATTGCCTCAGGGCTTTATGATATCCTCCACAGTAGGCATTAGAACATATCATGTAATTGCTGATCACCACTTTCATTGCATTTTGGGTGGTTTAGTCAACTTTGTAACTCCTATGGTGACCGCCATAGGAAGTGAATGGGTTTATGTTCATCCACCAGATAGTACACACCCACAAATCAACAAGCATGACATTTTCAGTGTCTATTATTGGATTTTCTCTGCAGTTATTCATGTAAACCAGTAGCCTGAGACATTGTTTACAGCTTAAAAGGGAGTTAAATAACATTTGGTGATGATTAATGACTTTTGTGTTAATGTAAGAGCAGTTAAAATTGGACTAGGAATACCAAAGTAAGGCGAGAGAAACAAACACAGCAGGAGTACGATTTTGAATGCAGGACTTTTACTTGTAATGAAGTACTTTGACAGTAATTTATTGGTGCTTTTTACCCAAGTAAAGCATCTGAACACTTCTTCCACCTCTGCACACAGATGAAGTAAGCAGTAAAGCACATCTGGAGGTGGATGCAGCGTCTCCGAGCAAACAGAAAGATGTTGGTCCAGAGGTTCCTGAGTATCCTCCAAGCACAGGCTCCGTGGCAGCTCGAAGGTCCTACTCTCCAGGGAGCTTCGACGACGTGGGAGGTGAGTGTGGATCTTTTATCATTAAAGGTCCCCTATTATACTGTTTTTCATCAATTTATTATAGAAGTCCCGAGTAAATCGCCAGAAGCGCCGACATCTCCTCATCACTCCACCGCTCCCACGTTTTGTTTTGTGTTGCCATAAGTTAGTCTCTCTCCGTTGGTGCGCTGGGCTAATGCTAATGCTAATAATGCTAATGCGAGCAAATAAAATGGCTGCTTCACAAAACTTTTAGGAGTTTTACGGGGTGTGGTTTGCAATTCGCCCAGCCAATCAGAAATTGGAACCTTTTCCTCCCCAGGAAAGTACCTGCTCTCTAGCAGGGACTGAAAAGGGATGAAAAGGTTCCAGAAAAAAAGTTCTAGTTCCAGATCTTTTTGGTGTGAACGCAAAATCCCAGGAACTATAGGAACTATATCTGGGAAAAGTACTCCGGTGTGAAAGCGCCTAATGGTGCTCTAGGAGGAGATTCAGGTGATAAGGTGGGGGGGGGTTACCTTGGTTGCTGATTGGCTAATGGTTACACAAGACAAAACATCGTTATGACATCATAAAGTGGCCAAAATCTGATCAGCTCATTTTCAGACAGGTTTTTATATAACTGGATCAGGACAAAAAGAGAGAGAATCTTTGTTCCTGAAACTTTCAGAATCTCTTTACACAGAGGGGACACATGTTGATGTAGAAGAGACATGAAGAAGAGGGGACACATGTTGATGTAGAAGAGACATGAAGAAGAGGGGACACATGTTGATGTAGAAGAGACATGAAGAAGAGGGGGACACATGTTGATGTAGAAGAGACATGAAGAAGAGGGGACACATGTTGATGTAGAAGAGACATGAAGAAGAGGGGACACATGTTGATGTAGAAGAGACATGGAGAAGAGGGGACACATGTTGATGTAGAAGAGACATGTAGAAGAGGGGACACATGTTGATGTAGAAGAGACATGAAGAAGAGGGGACACATGTTGATGTAGAAGAGACATGAAGAAGAGGGGACACATGTTGATGTAGAAGAGACATGAAGAAGAGGGGACACATGTTGATGTAGAAGAGACATGAAGAAGAGGGGACACATGTTGATGTAGAAGAGACGTGAAGAAGAGGGGACACATGTTGATGTAGAAGAGACATGAAGAAGAGGGGACACATGTTGATGTAGAAGAGACATGAAGAAGAGGGGACACATGCTGATGTAGAAGAGACATGAAGAAGAGGGGACACATGTTGATGTAGAAGAGACATGAAGAAGAGGGGACACATGTTGATGTAGAAGAGACGTGGAGAAGAGGGGACACATGTTGATGTAGAAGAGACATGAAGAAGAGGGGACACATGTTGATGTAGAAGAGACATGAAGAAGTGGGTTTTGCATAATAGGTGACCTTTAAAATAACTGCCATGTGTGGAATAAACAAATCTATATAAACATTGTGATGAATCTTGATTTCCCCCCCCCCCCCCGTTAGGCGGAGGCTACACGCCGGACTGCAGCTCTAACGAGAACCTGACCTCCAGCGAGGAGGACTTCTCGTCGGGTCCGTCCAGCCTCGTATCCCCAAGCCCCTCCACCTTCCCCCTGTACCGGGAGAAGAGCCGCTCCCCCTCCCTCGGCAGCAGCAGCCCCCCCACCCCGCTGGCTCAGAAGCGCCTGAAGCAGCAGGGGGTCGTCTGCGAGGCCGCCGTCATCGGGGTCCGCAAGACGGGAAAGATCTGGAGCGGAGACGGAGAATCCAACACCTCCAGCAGGAACTCCCAGGACCACAGTGGGCAGGATCTGGGTAAGAGACACCACACAGAGCATTACTGAGGACTTTTATTTGGAAGGATTATTATATTAACAGAACAGTATTATATTGGTGCGGGGAAATCATTGTATCGCGAGATTTGGAGTTATATATTGCTATTATTCTGATATTTGGATTTGAGGCCCATTATTTTCATGGATTTTGGATATCCTAAGTGTTGATTTACTTTGTTTAAAGGCTGCGTTAAAGTACAGTGATGTAGTAGTGGCAATATTTTATTGATACGCAGATTTATTTAACATTTGATGGGTATCAACTGTACACTGGACCAAAACAACATCATATCCGGTTCACATATAGCGTTATAAAGCACCAACATCTAAAAAAGTGCATGGTAAAAATGGATAAAAAGTAAATTTAGGACATCTTCTGGAAGCATGCTCAAAGGGAATACAGTCACAGTTGACAGGAGGATGTTTACATTAATTACAATTACATTTCATTTTTCTATGGGTTTGAAAATGTTGGAGACATTTGGGGAAATGGAAATGCACAACTGAACCAAATATATAACCTAGTTCTGCAGTTTCTATACATTTTATTGTCGGTAATGTTACATATAACACCTTCATTTAATCCGATGTTTTTATATTGTCTCACATCCTTTATCCCTATTAGAAGGTCAGAGATATTAACCCCTTCCTCGTTTAGCATGATTAGCATGTGTAAAAGCTCCCATGGTTAGTTGGGAGTGACAACATGGACTTTCACTGCTTCCTCACAGGAACCCAGTGGCTCTGCACTTCTTTCAGGAGTGTTTTCTTTATCCTTTTCTCTTTCCCACCCCCTTCTGCTCTTCACTGCCGAGTGCTCACAGAGAACAGCTCACAGAGAACAGCTCACAGAGACATGACTGCCCTCCGGCCTCCAGCTCTGTCCACCCTGAGTGTTTTTGTGTCAGCGCACATCACTGTTGTTGTCCTCGGTGGCGAGTAATTAACTTAAAGGGGTTTGTGTAGCGTGATAAATGTAGGGAGGTTCTTTGTTACGGGAGGAAAAAGAGGATGGCGATGGAGATGGAGATGGAGGGGCTTAAAAGTGTGTCATGCGGCTTCCAATCACAGTGGGTTTCCTGTTGTGATGTGTGCACACAATGGGAGAATCAGTCATTGAGCAGGAGTATTGACATGTTAACAATATAACAATGTTAAGTGGGATAAGGAGGAGAGTGGCAAAGGGGGCATTTTGTCAAAGTGAGCGAGGACACGGGGAAGTTGTCGAGGCCAAACAGGGATTGGCACACAGAGCGTATTAGGATTGCCTCTACTGCCGCCCGAAAAAGAAAAAAAAAGGAGAGTTATCCAGTGTGAGTGAGATTAAGCAGATGAGCAGAATGGTGTGTTGTTATATAAGGTGATCCAGCCCAAAGCTCTCTGGCACAAAGCATGTGACGGACAGGCAGAGACACGGTGATGTAATCTGCATCAAGGGAAGCTAAATGTTCAAATCTATTCTCAGATGTATGGAAAGTTTATTCTCCTACTGAAAAAAACACTGATGACAAAGACTAACTTCTTTGTGAGGAGAACATTTAGTTAAAGAGGACATATTATGCTAATTTCCAGCTTAATATCAGTATGTAGTGTCTCTACTTTAAAGAGTCCTCTCCTGCTGATGTTCAGGTGGATATCAGTATGTAGTGTCTCTACTTTAAAGAGTCCTCTCCTGCTGATGTTCAGGTGTATATCAGTATGTAGTGTCTCTACTTTAAAGAGTCCTCTCCTGCTGATGTTCAGGTGTATATCAGTATGTAGTGTCTCTACTTTAAAGAGTCCTCTCCTGCTGATGTTCAGGTGTATATCAGTATGTAGTGTCTCTACTTTAAAGAGTCCTCTCCTGCTGATGTTCAGGTGTATATCAGTATGTAGTGTCTCTACTTTAAAGAGTCCTCTCCTGCTGATGTTCAGGTGTATATCAGTATGTAGTGTCTCTACTTTAAAGAGTCCTCTCCTGCTGATGTTCAGGTGTATATCAGTATGTAGCGTCTCTACTTTAAAGAGTCCTCTCCTGCTGATGTTCAGGTGTATATCAGTATGTAGTGTCTCTACTTTAAAGAGTCCTCTCCTGCTGATGTTCAGGTGTATATCAGTATGTAGTGTCTCTACTTTTGTATTAAATGACCCTGTCCTGTTTAAATGTGCAGTTTGTTTCCAGAGGAGACTTGTTGCTGACAGAATAGCGCAGCTGCCTCGTGTGCACGCTGCTTTGTGGATTAGCAGAGTCTGGATTTATTCTCTCATGTTGTAACAACATCCCTGTGCACGTTGCTGGATTAGACCTCAGGCAGCGAGCCCGTTTGTGGTTTGAAGTTTTTCGCAATAAAATGCTCTTTGTTGTGGTGGTTCACTTTAAAGGAGCAGTTGGAAAGTTTTTTGGTGTAGTTGTGTTTATTATAAAACATTGCGGCAGTAAATGAGCCTAATAAAGCTAACGTGTTGTAAAGGCGCTTTGTGCTCCTGTTGGCTGAGCGTTGTGTAACTATAAGACAAAGCTTCTTAACCTATACAATGCAGTCAGCTCTTTTCCCTAAATGAGGCTTTCTGGACTGTGAATATCCCACTGGAAAAAAACGCCACTAACATCTGGATTTTGTTTTCAGTGTGAAAGGTTAAAACCTGCATTTGGGGAGTGTGTGGGAGAGAAACTTCCTCTGGAGGGAACACAGGGATTTTAGCCTTTGCAGACCATTTACATGCACTAAAACCTATAGAACACACTACAGGAAAGGGAACACCCGAATGCAAAATAGGGCCTCTTTAGGTAAGTATATAATCAATTAAACCAACAGGGATTTGACCCTTTTTTAACGTACATAATAAGTATTCTCGCCTGAAAACCACCAGACTCCATTGACAGAAACAGACATTTTACCTTCCTGATTATCAAACACATTCAAACTTGACAGAAACAAAATAACATTTCTAAAAACAATCTTTGTTTGTCTTTCCGCTGTTCTAATACCCGCCGTTTGTTCTGTTATCTATGGTAACATGACACCATGGTGGACAAACTAAATGGGCATGATGCTATGAGATTTATTTACAATAAAATCAACAGGAATTTGAGAGATTACCAGAATTTATTAACATACAAAACATGCATTTATTGTTTTCTCAAAGCCACCAGACTCTGTTGAGAGGAACAGTAATGTTACCTCACTGATTATCATAAGACGCGCTTATAAAACGTAATAAATAACAGATATAAAATAAGTATTTACCGCCGTAATGTTTTCAATCTTGGGCAGAAAGGCAGAAAGGCTTACTTGTCTACAATGGGAAATGACTTTTGAACCACATTGCTAGCAGCATATACACCCTTATTTTGTTGTTAAAGGGTATAATATTGTGTGTTTATGTTGATGTTCTGCGCCCTGTCCAACAGCATGAGAGTTGACGTGTGTTTCATTGTCTGTCAGTCTGGAAAAAAAGTCCGCCATAGCATCAAAAACACTTACTTACTGACACAAACAAACCCTTACATGTCAGCTGCATCGCTGCGTGAAATCTTAAGTGTAAAGGCTCAAATCGACGCGTCCCAGGAGACCTTTTTCTATGAATAGGAGACGGAGTGTTGTTGGTCCTGGTTTCTGCTTTCTGGTTATCTAGGCCAATCGTCAGGCTAGCTGTGAATAGAGCCGCTGATTAGCTGTGGGCCTTTAAGGAGGCCAAGTCTCTGATGGCTCTATTTTGCCATAATTAATTATCATCATGACACTGACATGCCCGTGGCCACAGTTTCTGCAGGGGGGGGGGGGGGGGGGGGGGTCTCATGGTTAATGTATAACAGGTCGGACAGAAGGAAGCACTTTACATTCGGTCATAACATGGGAAGAGTAGAGCCAAATCAACTATTACAAAAATCGCCAATTCTCTTGATAAACGAGTAATCGGTTGCATATTTCTTCACAATGATCTGTTTCCAGCTTCTAAAAGGTAAATATGTTCAGCTTTTTGTTTATTTGAACTCCTTTTAACAGAGTTGTGGACAGTAAAACACATGTGAGGGCGTCATTTTGGGATTTAGGACACACTGATGGACAGTTTCGGCCATTTCATAAACCAGTTTAGTGCTTCATTAAGAAAATAGGCAACAACTTCATATAAAATAAGAATATTTGGTACTTGCAGCTCTAAAAATGGGGTAAGAGTTTGATAATAAAGAGGTATTAATAAAGTAATGCCATGTATTTTTCTAAGTTATACCTTGTTTTTAAACAAAATATACATGTGTTAATATGTATTAGAGTGAAATGGATATAATGGGAATACCGTGAACATAGTTTAACGTGACAGAGGAATAAATACACACATACACCGTCGGCTTTGCTTCAACCGGAAGTGACACGTTTTATTGCACATGTCCCTTTTATCACGGGAATACAGGAAGTGATTAGTATAAGAGTATTAAATAAACAAATTCATATCTTACAATTCATAATTCAACAAAGAGGCCAAACACGGGGAATAACTATAATTCAGGGTTACCAAATGCTTAACTCGCTGTTTCTATATCATTTTTCACTACTTCTTCACTCAACACGTTGATGCCTTGTGTATATTGTGTATATTTTACATTTCAAACTTTATAGAAACGCCTCTTATGACTGTGTATCTATATTGGGAAATTCACCATTGTTTACCCTTTTATAACATTAATGAATGTATTTTATACTAACAAGCTACTTGCCGAAATGTTATTAAACTTGGTGAAAGAGCATTGGCCAAAGAATAATGTGTTAAAGTTTTGAGCGGATCGAAAACACAGTGCGGAAACACAAGATATGTTTTCTTCATTATCATTGAGGGAGAGTGTTTGTGCTGCATTCATGTGATCTGGAAATAATCAGAAACAACATAATTCAGAACAACTTGAAAACAGATGTCAACATGTTGTTTAAAACGCTCTGAGGCATGACATACAACACATCTTCTTAATAGTGTCCATATTGTTTCCACATAAGTGAACACTCATCAGCACACCAAAGAAAAAAACAACCTTCTTCTTCTTTCAGCTTTAATATCTTCCATCTGGCTTAAAAGTTCATCTCATCCATTATTAGTCCATTTACTCACTGTTCTTGTTGTCTTTTGTTTACTCGCGGCCCTCCTCATGGCTCAACAGCTGATCGTTGCGCAATCCATACTCTCTGTTTGCGGAGTCTCCTTCTTCCATTCACAAATATCCAAGCAGGGATTCCAGTCAGCGATGCGTCTTTATCATCAGTTATTCCAGCGGTCCG